TGCAAATATTCAGGATTCTCATCACAGGGACAGGGATGTTCTTTTGTGGTGATTCGTCTTGCACGCCTGCTGTATGTTGAAGCACACTCAAAAACCATCAGTGTCAAGCTTCATTGCAGACTTCTGGGAGACTGCAGAATTCCAACTCAATAAGAACAGTCCCTCAACGATCACGGTGGTAGGGAATCTGCATGGCAAGCTCAGTGGAATTATTCGGTAAATAGATCTCATCAATCAACAGGCAAGTGTATGACACATGTTGTACCGTGTGTTCGTGACAAGAGATGCACGACTTGAGTGTCTACCTAGTTGCTGTTGGTCCTTATTTGGGGGGACATTTACAGAGCCGGTAGCTGGTGGCTGTTCTGATTAAGACAACATCAGTCATGACACAAACTCCAGCAGAATTTTCCAATCTCAGGGTGTGCCCAGTGACACTCCGAATGCTCAACGGTCCCGTCTCGATCTGTGATATCCAAGTTGAGAATTGGTTCGGGAACCGGGGCATTTGCCCACATGCAGCATCCCATTGTTCTCCCCATAGGTTCCACATCTTCGACATCACACCTCTGGCTTCTTCTCAGTCAGATTGGATCTGAGCACCAGTCCAGAACTCGAGAGTTCAAGTACTCCGCCCTGGCGAGAGGAGGAGACCGGCCCGACATCGGGCCAGGGAAAAAAACGAAAGCAACCACGCGACATAGACAGCAGAGCGCGAGAATCATCAATCATATTGTGGAGCTACCCATGTTGTTCAAGCATTGTCGATGATATCTACCCATCCAGTGACCACACAGTTTCAGCAAGGAGCCATACACGACCAGGCAGCCAAGCTGCTTTTTGAGACATCACCCAGCCATGCCCAGCCTCTCGTGAGTGAGAGTCTGCAAGCTGCCTCCATCATATTGAAGCTTCATATGAGCCTGCATCATCTTGAGCGGAAGATCCCAAGTTGTGAGACGAGACACAACAAACGAGGATGTTTGCCCAACCATCGGAAAGCAAACGACAGGTCTTTTTCTACGGATAGTGCTTCCTCCAAGTGCCAAAGCACGAGAAACATGAAAAGCTCAGATCCTTAGAGCACTGTACCTCAGATCTTATTCTTGAAACAGTACCTCATGTAGAACTTCGAGTATTCGCACAAGGGACAGTCGAGAATTCTGTGTGCGGACAGGTCTACATACAATACATACTACATTCAGACTATATAACATACGAGTACATATAGGTTATACAAATCTCTGTGTGTGTGTGCGTGTCTGTGAGCATGTCCTTCAATGTCCTAAGGGGTCCAGTCGCTTCTGGTCTGGCTCTGGCCGTGGCTCATTTCAGGCCCTGGCTCCAGGTGTCAACGCTTTGCCTCGTCACGAACGTAGAAACGACTGATTCAAAACGACTGGTAGCGGTTTTCCCATGTTTTCCCCGTTCCCTGTGGATGAGACGAAGGAAAAGAGGAATCTGCGGACTGAAAGGCTTTGCTAAACCTCGTTCGAGTTTAAATGAGGAATCTGAGTTGTGTTGGGCCCTTGCCCTGGATCTTCGCTTAGTTTCTGGCAATGCCTTCACCAACTCTTGGAGTTTCCGTGCAAATTGCGCGCCTGGGGGCGGGAGGCACTGGTTCCTTGCAGCCGCGAGGCTATCACCTCGGGAGAGGACACATGCAACGCAGAACGGCTGTCTGTCCATGCTTCAAGATGTACAGTACATGTTCTTACGCCGTCTCATTTGTGTAATATGCTCATATCATCGTTATCTACAAGTCCCTGGAGTCCTAGCTGTCGCTTGTATTCCGGTTTCAAGCTGATAACTGAACCCAGGCAACGGAAGGACCCAAATGTTCGAAGCCTTCCCATGTTTTTTCATCAAACAAAAAACCCATCGTTTCAGGTCATCTCATCCCAACACCATCACTTACCCCTCCCTCCCGTTCTGAGCCCTGTGCCAAGCCAATAGTTTCCTGCAATAAGGTCCTGACTCGCTAAGTGATGTCCCCCGAAACGAACGACGATACCTAAGGAATATATTGCTATTATGGACATCAATCAAACAGATTCTAAATATGGAAGAGACAAATAACTAAAGGTACCACTATCATCCACGATCATCAATTCTGGACAAACAAAAAGTTACGCATTCCCCTCCGTTCACCCCAAGCAAAAAAGAACCTCTCCTGCGAACCGTGCA